TTTTAAGTGTGGGAGAGCCATGCTTCGGCACGAATGGGCCGGCTCGACCGGAGTGATACCACGGCCTCACAGAAAACCGACGTGAAGCAACGCTTGCGTTGTGTTTCGTCGTGTGAGTGAGGTTACCGGAGGCCTAATTACCCCCCTCCCTAGTCTCCCAAATCCCCGAATCCTCCACAATCCTCAAATTCCCAATTCCCAAAAGGCCGGTAACGCACTTTTAACGCCTTGGTGTTTCGGGTGTCCATGGGCGGCGCCGATTGCTTACCATCAGGTGATCCGCCTGCAAGTTTATCGGCTTATGCTATAAAAAAAATGGATTTTAAAAATAAATTAATGACTTTTTCTCCTCATGGTTGTTATATAAAATATCTACTATTCTGTTTATACCTTTCGTGATGAAAAGGTGGCGGCAGTTCTTCGCCAAAAGACGTCAGTTTACCAGCTCTATCGTTGCATGACTGTTTGTCTGTCTAATGACTAACGTATAAGTACAAACAGGTACTCATAAAATAGCCTGAAGCTAGACACTGAGCAAAATTTCACTAAATACTGTTGCTATTAATTTTTTCTCTTAAAAATAAAACAATTCCGACTTTTGAATTCTAATACACGAAAAAGCACTCCACAATCACAATTTGGTACTTACTAACTAGTCAAATTCAATACTTCTTTCGAACTGTCAAAACGAAACGAGACGTCACAATTGACGTTACGATTTTTAGCATCAAACAACATATGTACTTATTACTTAAAAAATTGCTGGAAAAATAATAAAATTAAGTTGATCATAGAATTAATTAATGAAAGTGTGATTAATTTTTAAATAGTTACTTTATTGTATTAAAGGAAAATACCCTATTATATAGTAGACAGTTACTTTAATTAAAATATTAACCTATCTAATTCAATTACCAAAAATTAACCTTAATAACGCCTAAGGGTTCTACACCACATGTAAATGTCTAAATTCCTTAATTCCTTCCAACATTCAGCTCCTCACTTACGCCGAATAGTCCTACGGGAAATCACAGTTTCGACCAATTAGCCAACACTGGGATAAATTTCGACCTAACATTGGGTTATATTTTTTAATTACCCCCTGTAACAGCTCGGCAATTTGATTTTAATTACTGTAATCATTCAGTTTGATTCCCAAGGTATATTGGGTTTTCTGATGATGGAAATATTGTATTGTGAATTGATTTTACAATATGTGTGGTGTGTGTATTATTTTTAATTATATTTTTATGTACTGATAAGAGAGAG